GGTGATCTGAAGCTTTGTGTTGTGTGATAAAGACACTTTGCTGTTTCCCTCCACAGAACCTTCCACCTTCAGCTATAAGCTGCGTTGGAGGAAAGATATTTACATTTGGTTCCTACCGACTCGGAGTGCACACAAAAGGTACGTCTGTAGATACTTTACCGAACACACCTGTACGGTTGTGTCTGAGTCATTGCTCCTGAACCACACGACAGTGAACACTGTAAATGTACATTATCTTGCTGCGTGTTTGTTTCTTCTTCATAACTGTGATTCTAACCTCTGATCAATGCTCAGTTGCACTTCTTAATGAACTGCCACATTATTTCCCAGTAAATCAGTTGAACTTCCTCATGTCGCTCTTGAACTGCGAAGGAGAGCGAACACATAAACACAGAGCAGCTGAAGTTTCAGTTTAGAGCTTTTGAAGTAAACAGAAAAGGTCTCGTTCCTTCAGTTCCTGTGAAACACTGCTGGAGATAAAGAGGAACAGGCAACGACCAGCTGATGAGGAAACTTAGAGAGAATTCAGTTACAGCTGATTCATAATAAATTATTTGGACTTCTTTTACAAAACATAAAGTTAAATGAACTTTACTAGAAAAATAAACCTGAGGAATCAGAACTGTTATTGATGTCAGTCAGAGCTACTGAATATTAAATCATCCTTTCTGACCCTGAAGAGAGCAGAAACTACTTGTTGTTAACTCCTTTTATCTGTTATCGTGTCGGTCACACACTTCTTGAAGTCTTTCCCTTTTAACGCAGCGACTTTCTTCAGTGCACTTATCAGATTGTTAGTCTGCAGCCATTGAAGCTGCTGCTCGACACAGATTACAGTTGCTGTTTCTTTCAGGAGCTGATATTGATGCCTTATGTGTGGCCCCACGCCACGTAGAGAGAACTGACTTTTTCCAGTCTTTCTTTGAGAAATTGAAACAGCACGAAGAGATCAAAGACCTGAGGGTAAGTGTCCGCGGCGTTCAGTAAAGCAACAAAACCTCCACTCCTCACAGACAGAACATCAATATAGATATTTATATAATCTATCAGAGTTTAGAGAGGTTTCATCCCCGACACCAGTACACATGATGAAACTACTGTTTTATCAGCTGCTGTTTGCTGAAGCTTTAACTGGCAGGAAAATAAATAAAGGAATTCTTACATCCAAAGTACACAGTGGAGCGACTGAGTTCACTTTTACTGTTTCTAATGATTCATTTAAATCCTGAAGCTCTGGTGTTCAAACAGAAAGTTGTCTCTCACTGAAGTCTGTTTCCAGACCTTGTAGTCGTCTTTCTGTTGGCGTTACTGAAGCGTCTGAGAGCTCGGGCCTTCTTCTGGTTCACTCGGTGTTAATTTCAGTCCTCGATAATGTCGGTCGATGTGACTTCACCTCGTCTCAGATCTGTTGGTGATGTTGTTTTCTCTTGGTGTTTCTTCAAGGCTGTTGAGGACGCTTTTGTACCAGTGATAAAGTTCAAATTTGATGGAATAGAGGTAAGTGAAAGTGCATAACTGAAAACAAA